TTGCAGGTTCATTAGATGTGCTTTTTGCTAAAACACCTAATTCATATCTAGGTAAAACTGAAAATCTTTGAAAAGTTACCAATTTTCCATTTTTCCAAAAAAGTCTAATTATACATTATAAGATGGAGAAAATAATAAATTTATCCTTTTTATGCCGGATATCATTTTACTTATGCTAATTGTATTACCTATCTTCTAAACTTTGTATATATAGGGAAAACTGGGGTTCGTCAAACCGATTTTTACAAAATTGGCTATAGCTCCTGGTTTTTAAGATAATATAAAAAATAATATATGATTAGATACTTAAAACTATACTCTCTAAAGATGTCTTATAAAAAAAATTAAGAATACAAATCAATTTTTTTTAATTTTATTTTTTGTAAAAGTGAAAATTTTGTCCAACAAGCCCAAACTACTTCAAGGGGCTTCCTAAACCATTAGTTTTTTTTAGGCCATAATAAATTGAAATGCATTTTTATCTATTAATAATGATACGTATACAATAATTTTATTGTTTTATTATTCAAAATATCATAATACTTATAAATTGAAGTTAATTATTTATAAAAATTTAAACTTAATTTTGGTTAATTTAATTAACATTTTGGACATAAAAAATAAGGATCTTTAGGAAAGATTATGATTTCTTAACATAAATCCTAAATACAAATCATAAAACAGCTATAAATTGCTTTTTCAAAATTTTGCAATTTGTTTCATTATTAACTGCCATAATTGACGTGTATGATTTAGCAAGCCCCGATAGCTCTAAATTGACAAATTATGATTGAAGTAATATCTAGATATAATAAATACTCATAAAACTTTCCCAAATTATAGAAGAGTATTTAAACTTTATACTTTAAAATTTATTTTATACATAAATTCCATTCTTTTCTGTATTGATGGAATGTGACTTTTAGTTGATGTCAAATACATGGCAGAAATCCACAGGCCGAAGACAAAGGTCTACTTATGCCTCAAAAATTTTCGACAATAAAATTTTCCACTCATTTAAAAATTTTCTTAATATAAAGTAATACAAGATAGGAGTAAGGCATTGTTATTTCTTATTCGATTAATATTATTATTTAGATAGAATATTAGTATAATAAATATTAATTATTAATATAACTATATCCAGATATATTTGGGGAAATTACTTATTTTTTTTAAACTCATTTTATTTTAATTTTTTACAAAATTGAATATTTTTCACTTTAAAAAACGCAAATAATGATTATTAGCTCTCATTTTCGAATATATTAAATAATTCGAATTTATTCATATATTTGTAAGTAGGCCTAGTAGTTGAAAGCGGAAATAAGAATAAGTGAAAATTGGGGATCGTTTTTGAATCTTCCTAATTTTAAATTAAATATTAAAAAAATTAATAATAAATAAAACATGTTAAGGAATATTTTAATAAAATATCAAAAGTAAAAAAAAAAATACATTTAAAAATAATGAAATGGGAAGAATAATTATAAAAAAAACATAAAATTGGAAATTTTCCCTTGATCGCAAAAAAAAGCATTATTTTTCACGAAGCTTTCAATCATTTATCATTTCTGACATTGAGTGACAAAATAACTATTTTTTATATAATTATTTGAAAAAGTTTTTAAAAACTATTTTATTATGTTTTGCTTTAGTTATTTTAAAAAAAATGAAAAATATGATACAGTTTATTTCTCATATTACATACACACGACATATTTGGATTTTACCAATTGAAAATTTATTTCGGAATTCGTATTACATCTACAGTTAGGGGGTAAAAATTATGTTTATAATTTACTCTTGTTAAAACGGATTTGATTTTTTTAGCCCATTTTTTAAAATGACTAACTCAGTATTTTATCCAGATAAATATTACGCCAATCTGAAGATTTTGCTTATGGCACAATGGTTTCGACATCTATTCGCGAAATTTTGAGGTTTAGAAAACAATGTTCTGTTTTTGACTAAAATATTGAGTTTTTCCGTTTTAAAAAATCGGCTGAAATCGAGCCATTTAATAACTAAACCAAAGAAAGAAAGAAAGAAAGAAAGAAAGAAAGAAAGAAAGAAAGAAAGAAAGAAAGAAAGAAAGAAAGAAAGAAAGAAAGAAAGAAAGAAAGAAAGAAAGAAAGAAAGAAAGAAAGAAAGAAAGAAAGAAAGAAAGAAAGAAAGAAAGAAAGAAAGAAAGAAAGAAAGAAAGAAAGAAAGAAAGAAAAAAAGAAAGAAAGAAAGAAAATTTATAAAAATAATTATTGGGATTTAAATTCTTCTATAATAGTAAAATAAGTGACGTAATAAGTGAGGCAGAGGATTGGGGCTGAGAAGGAATATACAATCCTTCAATCTCTCCCAAAAATCATGAATGATAAATAATCATTTTTAAACAAAAAAACAACATATTTGCATTTTTATTTCATTTTCTGAATTATCTTTTCCCACCATTTTATGTCCTAAATAAATACAGCTTAAAAAAATTTTTTTTTCAAAGTGAATTGAATATAATAAGTTTTGGCCAGAGATATTATTACTAAACTATACATTTAAAGTCCGCCTTTGAAAAAAAAATTTAGAAGGGAAAGTAAAAGACATTTAAGCGATATACATTTCGGGATAGATGTAGCCAGAATTGGGGGAGTTCACTCTAGAAATATTAATTGGAAATCTTCGCTTCAAACCCACTTATTTTAGTTCCCTTGGGCTATGTTATATTTTTTTTCACCTTTCTAAATATTTTGAATTATAGTGGTATTTAAAAAAAATTTATTAACTTTTACTTATTTTCTTTCAAATGCTTGTTTATAATGATATATTGTATACATTTTGGGAGGAGATGGAGATAAGGGAGGGGGAGAGGGGTAATTTTTTATTAGCTTAAAATTATATATACGAGAACAGGCTACACCTCCCTTGGCTATGCTTATCCCTTTAGCCATATACTTGTTTCCAATTAAAATGTATGTATACTTTTAATAAATGAATAGTCAGCTTAGGTTAGTAATGATATAAATGTATTTTGAGAGAGTTATATATTAATTTATATATATAAATTCATGCCTGACCTAAGGGCTCCTTGCAACAAGAAGGGTACGAAGCTAATGTTTCATAGAATTCGCAAGAGAGGGGTAGGTATACATACATTTAAAACAATTGCTCAAAATATATCTGTAATAGTGCCCTCTTATATTATATAAAATATTACTTATAATTGGTTTATTTGAATTAAAATTATGTTTTTGTTGAATTTTTTATAGCCATAATTTTTAGTTATATTTTAATAATTTTAATTTATACTTTTTCAGTAATACAAACGATTATAATTTGTATGCAATTTTTAAGTATCATATAATTACGGGCCGGGGTGGATTTGATAGATTTGAGCAACGAGTGATGCAGCTTATCAAGTTTTGTTCGTTGATTTACGATAGTATAGGTTATTGAATGGTTAGAACAAAACAAATAGATCACTTCTGTCTGACAGACATCGAATTATGAGGGAAGATATATAAGAATGTTAGTTTTAACGCTAATCACCTTTACGAATGTAGATTAGAGGTCTTAAAAAAAATTTAACCCGCATGCCAGCCGTACATAGTTTTCAAAAAAATTTTTAACCCAAGCCCGCTTATAAAATTTAATTATGGTCATTCTTTCATTTTTTAAGCATCTAATAAAAATATTTCATTACTCCTCTACAAAAAGTTTATAATTTAGGAAATTAATATAAGTATAAAAATAATCAATGTAAATTATGGACAATTTATTTGATCAAGTTGAATATTTATGAAAAAAATATAAATGTAAAATTAATATTATATGTAATTATAATGCAAAAATAATAATGAATCGACATTTTCTGGATTCAAACACGTTCTTCTCTGTTCTAAAAATCTTCCAGCAATGCTAAATCCGCGTTCGGAAGAAGCACTAGTTGCAGGAGTTGCCAATATTTTTCTTGCTAATCTTGATAGCTTTGACAAATCTCTTTCTTGTCGTTTCCACCAAAGTAGGATATCTGTTTGAAGTATATCCTCTTCCTCAAGTGAGATTTTTGAATAAAAGTGAAACCAAATGCAGATTGCAAACCCAAAAAAAAGGAAATTTTAAGAGAAAAGTTTTTATTACATTCCCATAAAAGGAAATTTTTAATAGACAAAAATGTTTATTTATTCTAAGAAAAAAGTTTTATTGTTATGTTTATTACATAATATAGTTAGGTAAATGTTCTCCACTTTAAAAAAAAGAGAAATATTGTTATAGTTCGTTTAAATTATTTTTTTTTAGCTTATTTTAAATTTCCTTAACCGCCCGCCTGCCCATTTTCGAAAAATTTTTCACCCGCCCATCCGCCCGCCTACTTAGATGGGCGTGGGCGGGCGGGCCAAACCCCGCCCAATGCAGACCTCTAATGTAGATAACCTTCTCTTAAATGTCTTTTAGCGGGTTCTAGACCGCTTTCCCACGCCCGCCTGTATGAGCTAAAAAAAAATTAAGCATTGGATAAGAAGGTGTGTTACTACAAATTTTAAAACAGCTGTCAGGAGGGAAAATTTAAATAATTTATGAGCGAATGAGCAGAACGGCTCATATTAATTAATTATTTGAATATTTTAACAGTTAAGAAAATGTATTTAAATGAAATGAATCAGACTGATAATATTTAAACACTGAGAGGGTGGATTGAACAAAATTACAAAGTGAATAAGCTGTGGGTGAAAACAAATTATAAATGGGCACGCGGGCAAACGAACAAAACCAGTCCTGGCAGACCTTTACGCTTTATACCATAAACCCTTCTAAATTGGTAACAAATATTAGTTATGTTTTTCATTTTTTTTATAAAATGAGTGATTGAAACACGTGATAGTTCTGCCGCACCTCCTCTCAATCTAAACCCCCCCCCCTACCCTCCTAAATTAGGAAACGTAATTATATAATCAATCCCCACATGTCTATTTATGATTTAATATAGATATATATTTGGTATACAGTACAAAATGAACATAGATGAGACGAATAGATTGTATCATCATTATCAACTCCCTTATCAAATATACGACAAAAATCAAACCAACACGTCCCCGCTTTATTTTCATCCTCCCCCTAACAGTGATCATTGTGAGAGGAGGAATCCTCTCTTCTTAGCTAATAATAATCGAGATGATATCATCAGGGATTCATTCGAGTCTGATAATCGTGATAAATCATTTAATTATCTCCTCGGTGGAACATGCTACAAAAATATCCACCAGCATCATCATCAGCTGGTTCGGCATGAAGTGGAGGAGGAGGACAAAAATCGTAACTTCGATTTCCATCAAAACGAGTACGATTATTATAACTACCACAACAATAAGAGACAAAATATAAACAATTCTAAGATGGCCGGAAATAACTTAATATACTTGAACAATGGCTTAGCTACTTATTCCAGAATAGACACGGTGAACTGTTCTAGTTTCAATAATTATTACATTTCTTACCATCATCCGCAGACGATTCCTGATGCCAAAGATTTAATCGCGAACACAAATTACGTGTACGATGCTGGTAATGCAAATAGAAATAATCATATGATCGGTATGGAGAGAAATTATCAAGCCGGAAGTTTAAATGCGGGAAATTTTAAGAATACTGGGAATTATTGTTCCTCTCGCGTTTCAGAATATTGTAAGGACGAGGGTCGATTTGATAGCTATTATTACAACTATGATAAACACTTTTCGAGTAATAACAAAAACAATAATTCCAATAGCAATTTTCAAATCGCGAGCCTTAACGACGAACAAGCCCCATGTTACGAAAGGACCATAAAGAGTGTCAAATCTTCGATAGACCCATTTAAGGAGCCCGTCTCCCAAAACAATTTTTTCAAGGATTTCAATAGCTTCAATCATCTCAACCATTTAAATCAATTGAATTATGGGAAATCTGGGGTGGAATGGTTTCCCGAGACCACTGCCACATATCGATTCCATCCCATTACGCCAGACAATCTCACCAAAATGTGCAACAAGAAATATAATTATGAGATTTGGGATGATAATGACTACGTCAAAGGTGTTGTCAATGGGGAAAATAATTCACTATTCATACCCGACGATAATGTCAGTGGCTCGTTACCGATAGCTCACGACAAACAGGATCCAAGAGATGTTAGTTCTGCCAATTTTGACGCCGCATTAGACAACGTTAAAGTTTCAACGGAGGAATCTAGTCTGTTAACAGCTAAAACCGAGGCAGATTCTTGCGGTACTACAACTAAGTGTATCGAAGAATGTAATGGGGTTCATGATGGAGACGGAAACTATCATACATACAATTCTTATTCGGTATATAAAAATGAGATTTTGTAATAATATAAAGTAATTTCTTTCTCCCATCCCTTTATTAGCCCAAAGAATTCTTTTGATATTTAAAATTTAAAGAAGTCATATTAATAGAATCCTAACTCTAACCACAAATTTTAATAAATTTATTATTTTTTTAATATATAATTTCAATTGAGATTTGGAACCTTTCAATTTTAGATTTACTGTGGGCCATGATAAACTAATTTGACCAAAAATTGTATTAATTACGATAGTAGAGTAACTACCTCTACAAATGTTCACCCTTCTACGAAAAAATTCTTGTTTTCCTAAATAAAAAATTTAATTAAAAGTGAAAGAAAAAATTTTACTTTTCAAAAAAAAAAGGTAAACAGAAACTAATTGTCTACTCCAATAAATTTATAAGGGGGGGGGGGGGGTCCCCATCTAATAAAGCTCTCCCTTCGTTCTCTCTTCCACAAATTTCTGGAAATTTAATTAGGACATCCCGATAAAATTTTAAAATAATTTTCGCTACCAACTTTTGCAAATTTTGCATGACAAATCTATATAATATAATAAATTATCGCATTTATAGGTTATTCGTCCAAACTTAATTTCGTAAAATTTCAATAATAAATTTAATTCTTTTATGAATAATTGAATATGAACGCGCACCCTAAAATGTAATTCGAAAATAAAAAAAACACGGCCAAATTGCCCGAATTTTACAGCGTGAGTTCCTTTGTCACGTGATGAAATATGATCAGATTTATTTATTTTTTCAAAATAATATATGTCTCGCAGAAAAAAAAAAGATTATTAAAAATAAGAAAAATTCTGAATCCACATGGGAAAAAAAAAGTTAACGATCAAGAGATTTATTAAGGTAAACGGAATAGGCAATTATTTCGAACTATTTTAACCGTGAACTTTTCAACTAAATATATATGTTAACATTGTTTTTTTTCCGGGAATCTGTTTATTTTTTTTTCAATTTTAAATCATTTTTTGAGCTTGTTTTTGAAAATTTAAATATCATATTTTAACCTGAAATGTAAGCCGTCATGTTTATATTACCTACCCTATGAATTTTAGACAACTTTTACGTGAAATTTTAAACTTAATATAATTTATAATAAATTTTCCTTATATTTTTTTTAATATAAATCATATATTGAATCAATAATTCATAAGATATATTCCAAACATGATAGAATATATTTCCGGTAAAATCCAATTTTTATATTTAAAAAAAGGCGCTCAAAACATGATTTAAAGTTGTAAAAATAACATATTGACGCTAACATATATACTCTTAATTTATATTTATTTTACTTAAGACTTTACAAATTTTTTAAAAAAAAATTTACAAAGGGTTTAAATGACAAACTTTTATATAAAATATCTGACAAAATTGAATTTTAACGTAGGGAAAATTCAAAAAAGCAAAACCCATCTTTTGAATTTCTCTAATTAACCCATTAAGGCAATTTTTTTTAGTATTATTTTAATTTCTTTTTCTTTATAAACAAAAAAAGACGAAACCACCCTACAGCTACATAGCTCTCATAGCTCTGGCAATCCAACATTCCCCATCTAAAAGAGTAACCTTAAACGGAATTTACAAATTTATCATGGAGAAATTCCCATTTTATAGGGATAATTGTCAAGGATGGCAGAATAGCATCAGGCACAATCTCTCCCTCAATGAATGTTTCGTTAAAGTGCCATCGGAAAACAGCGAAGAAACAGCAGAGAATAAGAAGTGCTGCATGATGAACCGAAATATGTCTAATTCCGAAAGCCCTATGAATACAGATATTTTATATAAAGGTGCCAAAAGGGTTAAAGGTTGCGCGTATAAGAAGAAAAAGGGTGCAGCTTTCTCGTATTCCAATTTTAGTGGTCCGGAAAATATAGCTGACCCCAACGACGTCACGCACACTCTTCAAGATATTAATAGGATTTGCAAGAAAGAAGGACTGAGCGATACGGATAGCTATTTTTGCGAAGATTCGGGGTTGCCAGCTGAAAATAATGACTCGTCTAAGGGCAGCAGGAATAAAGGTAATAATGGGACTAACATCTATCCCAACAATAACAAAGGAAGTTATTGGACACTTGATCCTGACAGTTTAAACATGTTTGAAAATGGTAGCTTTCTGAGGAGGAGACGCCGGTTCAAGAAAGCCAAAAAAAATTCAAGCTAACAGAGTTTGGAGGGGATGGGGTAGGGGATAATGTAACAAAATCTTATATAACATAAAGAAATAGGTTCCTAGTGAGATTTTCTGTCAAATTGATTCATGTAAATTTATTGGATTATATTATATTATATTTCTCTTTTGAAAACTTTGGTGATATATCGGTGATTTTATAAATGATTTATATAATTATGAACTATATTTTTCTAAGAAAATAAAAAAAAATGTTTAGTTTATAACTAAAATTTGATTTGTTATAACTCTGCAGGCGGGTAAGCGGGAATTCGCTAAGAGGTAGAAGGAGGGGGATGGTAATTAAATTCTTTTAAAAAATTTATTCTAAGAGTTATTTAAAAATATCTTAAGTTTCATAAATTAATCAAGACACAAGTGACTATAAAATATTGACAATTTATACCAAACGCATAATCGCAAAAATGACTTGTTTTTATAAATATCATTTTAAGATAGTCAAAATTTTGCAAATATTTGAATCAATTTTCCAACATAAAACTTATACTTTAAAAAAATTTTTTATTAAAATTTCCTTTCCTAGTGAGTATATATTAACATTATTCAAAAATATTAATGAAATGGGAAAATTTTAATTAAAGAGATAGAAATATAAAACGGTAATTTCTTTTATCGTTATGATTATTTCTACTTATATCTAATATGATTATTTTATCAAATTCGAAATTATTAGTGAGTTAGGAATTATTAGGTATCTTTTATTAATATTTTAATTATTAATAAATATCTAGAATTTTTAAATATTCTTCATTTTTACTTCCATTTTATAGAACAGAAGAAATGGAAATACAAAAGTTAAATAAGGCTGAGCATGAAAAAAATGAACAATTACAAATTGAAGAGAAAAAAAAATGGTAAAGGTAGGTAGCATATTTATGAAATCGTTAAAAAAAAATTTATTGATTAAATTATTTATGTTTGTAGTTTAGGGGAGATGTGGTTCCTTGCTCTTTGAATATTCTTTCTTACTTTTTATGTTTCTGAGGTTTGATTATTAACAATTTGATAGATTAGCTCAAACAACCCGGCCGAAGGCCGAGAGAAAGCTGGCGGGAGGCCTTTAAAGAGGATTTGGGCGAAGGCCCACCCCCAAAATAAATCCCCCTTTCTCCCTTCTCCATAAGAAAATCCTGGATACGCCACTGTCTTATACACAAATTCTAAAATAAATTGATGATAAAATATTATATGTTTTATGTTGGCGTCAATGTGTTTTAAAGGCAATATTTTATTTATTCAACATTAGCATTTGTTGAGGGCGTAATTTTTTGTAAATTTTAAAAAAATCTGAATTTTACTACTCCATCATGTTTGAAATACTTACCCTCTGATTTTCAGACAATTTTTTCATTAAATTTTGAACTTATTATAATTTATATTAGTTTTTACATAAATTATACCTAGCTCAAAGGGGCAAAATTGTCTACAATTCATAAGATAGGTATATTAAACATGATCAAATACATTTCCGGTAAAATCAGATTTTTCAAATTTAAAAAAACGCGCCCAATAAATGATTTAATGTTGAAAAAATAGCAAATAACCGGAAAAAAAACATTTATGCTGGAGAAAAAAAAACTTTGTAAAAAATATATAAATTTTTTGAGCATTTAAAATTTGATTATATAAATTAAAATTATTGAAAATATAGATTAATGCACAAAAATATTCTTAAGAATTATCGCATGTATATAACCATACAAAAGTGTTCATGAAGAAAATATTAAAAAATGGGGAAAAAATATAAGAAGCACATATTATAAATTTATAATTGTATCTCTGGGATTGAGCTATTTGAATAATTTCATCAGTTTTGGTGTCAACTCCCTTTTATATATATATATATATATATATATATATCAAGAAGGGCTAAAACCAATTCCCTCTATTTTTTGATGTAGTACATCTCTGTAATATTGTTAAAAGGCTCGTATATATAGCCAATTTTTTAAAAATGGTTGATTCAATATTTTATCCACAAATATTACGTAAGTCTAAAAAAAAATTAAATTCGCTGATTTAAAAAATCGGATATTTGTACATTAGCACAATTCGTCCCAAAGTGGCTCGTCAATAAAATTTTATAGGGTGTTCAGTATAGGTTTTTGGCGTAGCTAAAGTTGTAGTTTAACTACCTGATCAAATACGTAATAAATTTTCTCAAGGTTTGCATAAAATTGCGAAATTCGGTGCCGATCCAGAAAGTAATTTTGCCCAAATGGGTTGGCTACTTAGCACAAGTTGCCTGGCTTGTTTATTTTTTTATCCCAACCTGCTCATAAATCTTTTTTTTCTTTCATGGCTAGGTAACCCTGACTTCCAACAACCAGTTAGGGCGAATTTGCGGCTAAATATAGAAAAATTAACGTAAAATTATTATAATCATATTTTGTATACCTTCGCCGTTAATTCGCGGTAATTGTGATTCAGAGTAAGGCTCAATATTTTTTTTTCACCTCATCCAATTCGAGGCAGGGTTTCAGGCCCTAAAATGGCAGAATTTGTTTCAAAGATACATTGAAATATTCTAGAAATTTTACATGCATCGGGGAACAAATACGCTCCATAAATATCTTAGAATAATTTTATATTGTAACAGCCAAATTAACTATAGCGCTAACTTCAATTTTTTATTATATTTTTGGTATCGTTTTTCATCAACTTTAGAGTTAAAATTAATATGAAATAAAGTCGTTAGAAAAATCTTGTCTCGACCATAAATATTATCCTAATGTACAAGGATCTGAAATAAATAAAAAATTGATCGTTATTTTTTAAAGAACAATTAAAATACCTTCTTTAAGTCTTTATGGAAGTTGTCAGTAAAAAAAATTTATACCTTTTTATAAATTACTTTATATTTATTTTTTCTCAGATATCTTTCAGGTAATGGTTGTTAAGGGACTCGATTTTTAAAATCGAGTAGCCAAATATTTCAGCCAAAAAAAAAATTATGCAAGCCTGGAGATCTTGCCAATAAGTGGCGGGAAAGTTTGGACATCTATTATTGAAATCTCGTAATATTATTTTGGCTATCGACTAAAACGAGAGGGGTCAAAATAATTTAAATTTATTTTTTTGGATATCAGCCCAGCAACAGTTTTGCAAAAAAAGGCAAGTCCGGGTTTTATCTTCCCGGATTTTAATCCGGGTATGCAGATCCCTGATCTTTTAATCATCATTTCCTAATATTTCCAAAATCGGAAAAAAAATGTTTATAGTAGCAACATTCAGAATCGCTTTCTTCCTGAAGAGTTTCATTGATATTCATGAATTTAAATAAGGCCTCATTTACATTAAGCGTGGTATGCTCAAGCAATTGGAAATTAATCGCTGCGTGTTTTATAGCAAAACAAAGGGATAATTTTATAAATTTAAGCTTCAAAGTTAGAATCACAGAAAATGTTTGCCCAAATATAAGTTGATTTCGATTTTATTCCTTATTATGTGTTAATTGGAGCAGGCTGAAAATTCCTCGTAACCCAACTGTAAGCTTGAATCCAAAAAAATTCAACAATGAATTGTAATTAGGGATATAGAAATTTGCCCTACTTCCCCCAATTTTTAATTTGTTTATCAAATAATCAGGATTTTTATCATATTTTAGAACACTATTTTTTTTTGGTTCATATTTATGTTTTGTTTTTGTATATTGGTACATTTTAGATAATGTGATAATAGCTCACTCTAGTAATGTTCATCAGAAGATAATTTTTTATTGTGAAATATATTTAATTTAACAATAACTGAAATAAGGATAAGGATTAAAGGTTAAAGAGATATAGGATAGGGTAAAACTTCCTCTTCCAATTCAACTAATGATGTAAATTTCTGAAAAAATAATTTAATAAAATATATTGATTTCACAACAGCCATTTTTATGTTAAATTGCCATCTTCCATGATGCAACATATATTAAGAAATTATATCAAACTTTATAAACAGCAAAAATTTGTTAAACAGTGAACAACAAAGGATTAAAAATATATTAACCAAAAGATAAAATAAAAATATGACCCTTATTAATGATGAGTGGACAAATAAATGAGTGAAATGCATTATAAAATACCCATTTTCTATAAATTAATTGAAACAGGGATCAATATGCATACAGGTATTTATTAATAAATAGGAAACACAAAAATTTGCTAAGGGATAATGGAAGTAATGAAGAAAGCCTGGACACTTGTAAGAAAATGTCTAATTATCAAATCCATTGTCTGCACATTGACAGGGTTGTCAGATAGAAAATTTCAAATTGCTGGATAAATTGGTATTTTGAGGGTTGAAATATGAAAATTGAGGTGGAAATATAAAAATGGCCCACAAAGTGTCGACCTTCAGTCAGGATTTATATTGGCTTAGTTATCCCCCTATTAATTCTTATAATTACTTTATATAAATACTAACAAAGTTGGTAATGTTTTATAATTTCAAAATAAGTAATATTTTTGAAAATAGATTATATTTAGTATTATTTTCTACTTCTTTGTGTAGAGTTACTTTATTTATACTATATATAAAAGAATTTAAACGTGATAATTAAGTGCCTAGCCCTATTATGTTATACACAAATAAATTTACAAACTAGACATGTTTTTTGAATTATTTTATAAAAAATATTTAAGGCCGTGCTTGAAAAATTAGGCCCAATGCAGATCACTAGTTAAAATGCTAAAAGAAAAAAAACGTGTAGGAGAAAAATTTATCAAAAAAAAATTTTAAAAAAAATTTCCCCATTTTTTTCTCATTTAGTGCCAAGAAATTTGCATGCCTAAATCAGATGTATAAGTTTTTTGGGTATAATAAAATTTTGTTGATTTAACCAGTTCATTGAAGGTTGTGGTAAGGAGAAAGTGAAATACATCCTGATTATTATATAGGTTATAATTTTATAGGGAATAATCACACAATAATTTGAGTTTAGGATATGATGTTTACTGAGAGTCAGATCAGAATATTGAGTTATATATGAGTCAGAATATTCATAGTTTCGATACCAACCATTTTTATAAAAAAAAAATTCAGCCAATATTTTTTAGTTAATAATGATGATTAAAATATCTATTTTTAAAATTTATGGCCATATTTTAAAAAAAAATTCAGTCCTAGCCAGTTATATTTAAAAAAATTAAAATATGGCCCAGCCCATGTACCCATGCCTGCAGGTCTCTGATATTAATCTATATATTTTTTTAAAACATGAAAAAAATCAATATTGATTGACATGTAAAACAATTTTTTAAAGAAAATTTCCCAGAAAATTATACAATGTAATTAAATGTTGCGAACTATAGATCAAATAACTCATGATAAAGTACTATAAATTAATAATTTTATTATATGTTTGGCAACATTAATAATAAAACATTATATTAATAGAAATAAATTATTGTATTTGATAAAAATATTGATCTTCAAATATGCATCATTTTTCTTTACATAGGAGCTCTACCTCTTCCAAAACCACCTCTCTAGATGTGTAAAATAAAATATAATAGCTTTCAGTACATTTAAAATTATGCTAACACATAAAAAAAAACATATACAAATGGTTTACATATTCTAAAGGAGTTGAACCAGGGCCAGCATCTGCCTTTTTGTCCATTCCCATATCTTTTAAACAATAATTTAAAAAGAATATATACACATCTAAGAATATAAAATATTTAGAACAATTAAGTGCAATAAAAAAATATTTGTTATTTAAAATATTGCAATAATATCCAATTTTATGTTTACCAGCTTTCCTGTAGGCATCTTTTTCAGAAGGCATTTGGTCTCCTTCTAAAAAATATATGTATAATGTATATTTATACTGAAAAACAATTATCAGATTATTTTCCTTGAATTATGATCATGTGTATCAAAATTTTGTATTCATCATTTAAATTATATTAAAAAAACATTATTAAACCTTTTGGTCGCATGTCAGTTCTCGTAGCCCGTTTAAGGGTAACTGGAATAATTTCTGGAGGGAGATGCAAATATTCTCTCAGATATTGTATACCATCATTTGTTAGATACCAGTAATAATGATGCCATGCAAACTGTTCTGTTACATATCCTCGAGATTTTAATGACTTAATTATGAAACTAAAATATTATGATATACATTTGATATTACTTGTAATGCTTTAATAACTTGGAGATTAGGAACATTTTCTATATTTGGGTGCTTAGGAGCATGAAAATCTTTCTTAGCAACCATAACTCCTTCCTTGAATAAATACTCATATATTAAATGTCTATTCTTTTTGGGCATTAACATCTTAGAGGCTTGTTTAGGAAGTATAACAAAATGTAGAATAAATTTTAACTCCTCTAAAAATAATAATATTTAATATTTATATAATAGGTATATTATATATTCGATTCGGTGTCGTTCTGGTTTGTCAGTTTTTTTATTTTTACCTTTATAAAAAATTTATATAGGAGTTATTTACATTTTTTAAATAATTTTATTTTAGCCGTTTAATTTTAAAATATTATTGTTTGTTTTTTATATATTAAGATATATAAAACTTTTAAAGAATAAAAATATATTGTTATTCAAGAAATGAATTAGCATGACGTAGTCAGCGCTTAAATTATAACAAGATCTGAAATTAATACATACTTATATGGATACCTCCAGAATAATATTGAAACTAATATAACACTCTGTTACCATTTTTAGACACTGTTTTATATAATGAACTAATAAGAAAAAATTTCCTAACCAAATAAACAATTCTTGGAAAAGAGAATATAAACGACCCCAAATCAAAAAGTATATGGTGGTTAGAGCTTCCTCTTAAATGACATGATGGAAGCTAGATAATTAATTGAAAAAAAAATTGTGAAATTTTAAATTTCTAAAAGATTATCTTCCATTTTTAATAATATATAAACAACTACACAGTTGACCATTATTGCTTATAAAATAGGCAATCATATGCTCTCAGCATCTGTAATAATAATCTTAAATTACATAGCCAGACAAATAATAGATGCTGGTTTATTAGCAGTCATAGCCATGATACTCACTAATTAACTTATATCAGAATTTATTATGCTAGATAAATTGATAAAACAAAAACACTAAAAATCTTTAGAAGAAATTATGCAACATGATAAAAGAAATTAATTAAGATTTTATATATTATTGTCGCACCACCTCTAGTTGGTATATTATATCTTAAAATAGTAGTAGTTTGTAATAATATCAAAAATATACTAGTATTAAAAATTTAACTCAAAACTGTTTTTCAAATAAGAAAAAAATAGCCTTCCTAAAAACATGTAAAAAAGAGAAGAAAAGTTATCTAATTTATTACATCCATTCTGGGATAAATAATAATATGTTACATTTTTATAAATATTTCTAAATAAATATATGACGTTAAATATTTAAAAGCAATTTATTACTTATATTTATTATCAAATGCATTTATTAGTAAAATTTATTAAAATATTAACTGTAATATATTATATAACTGTCAAATACGTCTGTAAAAGTAATATTTAACCTTATCTTATCTTTTATAACCAATTATATCTAATAGAGGATTATAAACTATATGTTTACTTACTTTTTATAAATAAATCTCTTATACTTATTTGGATTTGGACCTTGTAAATAATTTTAAGAAGAGGCATGGTAATTAAATTTAAATATCAATAATATAGTTAATTATTGATTTTGAACTCGGCTAATTAGAATATTAAATTTGTTAATTTTTAATTAATATTTATTTAATTAGGGTTATATAATAATTTAAATAATAAAAGTCAATAAAGCTTCAACTGTTAATGCTAAATTAATATGATATTAATATTCTATTTTTAACACAGAATTTGATTGCAAGCTGACATAGTGAAAATATAATTTATAAGTATTAATCTAATCATAATTTCGATTTTAATCCCTTATTTTTCTCCTTTCTTTTTTTTTCATTTTGTTGTAAATATATCTTGAGAACAGGTTCGGAATCTTCAATAAGTGTAATAAGGCCCATCATATTGTCTTCTTGTTGCCTGTTCTAGACTTTAACATGTCCATTTTGAATTTGAGTATGGCCTCAAAATTAAAGACATGTTAATAAAAAATTAATTCATTTTAATACTACAGTCAAAACCGTTTAATTGCGAAAGCTTGGGACCGAAATATTTAAAAATTTCGCAATTATACGATTTTTCGCAATTATACGATTAAAATTCAACAATTTATTTATTAAAAATCAGTTTGTGTTTTTTATAAAGATATTTATCATCTATATATATTTTAATCATAGAAGCCATCAAAATTTGCAATAAATACAATTTTTAATTAATGTAACCAACTATATATTTTAATTTGAATAAGTTATGTAACGAATAAAAAAACTAAATTTTAAAAATTTATCTTATTTGTTGAAACATATGATCATAGCTTTTTATGACCAACGTGCTAGGTTCCCACACGAAATCGCCAAGTTCAAAATAGCCAAATATTTTTGTACGTAATTTAAAACACCACAAGTAATATAATATTTCCTATATAATAAAATACAAATATATAATATAGTGTAATATAATAAAATATATAATAATAATATAAATTAATAATATAAATTAATAATATAAACTAATAATGTAATACACTATAATACTAAAATAATGTAATATTATAATGTGTAATATAATATAAAATATACAATAATAATTTAAAACCAATATAATATAATACCATTATAATATAATACCAATATAATATAATACCAATATAATATAATACCAATATAATATAATACCAATATAATATAATACCAATATAATATAATACCAATATAATATAATACCAATATAATATAATACCAATATAATATAATACCAATATAATATAATACCAATATAATATAATACCAATATAATATAATACCAATATAATATAATACCAATATAATATAATACCAATATAATAAAATACCAATATAATATAATACCAATATAATATAATACCAATATAATATAATACCAATATAATATATGTAATACCAATATAATATAATACCAATATAATATAATACCAATATAATATAATACCAATATAATATAATACCAATATAATATAATACCAATATAATATAATACCAATATAATATAATACCAATATAATATAATACCAATATAATATAATACCAATATAATATAATACCAATATAATATAATACCAATATAATATAATACCAATATAATATAATACCAATATAATATAATACCAATATAATATAATACCAATATAATATAATACCAATATAATATAATACCAATATAATATAATACCAATATAATATAATACCAATATAATATAATACCAATATAATATAATACCAATATAATATAATACCAATATTATTATGTGTAATATAATATAAAATATATAATAATAATAATATAATACAAATATAATATAATACCAATATTATAATGTGTATTATAATATAATACCAATATAATATAATACTAATATAATATAATACTAATATAAAATAAAATAAAACTAATAATATTATACTAAAAAGGTACTACATTCTAATACTATAATTAATCTTCTAAATATACATAATATAAAATAAAAAAAAAAATCCTAATATAAGTGTAATATATTATAAAGTATATATAATTATATAATATAATATATTTTAATATAAAATATATAATAATAATATAAATGTTTTAATCAGGCGTCTTCAATAATATTTGAAATGTAGTGGATGGTGGTCATATTGATTCGGAAGTATATGAAACTCACTTGTCTTACTAGAAACTATAGGAATAAATTTTTTTAAGGTTTATATTGATTCATAAGTATATGTAACTCAATTGTCTTACTAGAAACTATAGGAATAAATTTTTTAATCGATTCATAAGTATATGTAACTCACTTGTCTTACTATAAACTATAGGAATAAATTTTTTTTAAGGTTTATATTGATTCATAAGTATATGTAACTCACTTGTCTTACTAGAAACTATAGGAATAAATTTTTTTTAAGGTTTATATTGATTCATAAGTATATGTAACTCACTTATCTTACTAGAAACTATAGGAATAAATTTTTTTATTGATTCATAAGTATATGTTAATCACTTGTCTTACTAGAAACTATAGGAATAAATTTTTTTTAAGGTTTATATTGATTCATAAGTATATGTAACTCAATTGTCTTACTAGAAACTATAGGAATAAATTTTTTAATCGATTCATAAGTATATGTAACTCACTTGTCTTACTAGAAACTATAGGAATAAATTTTTTTAAGGTTTATATTGATTCATAAGTATATGTAACTCACTTGTCTTACTAGAAACTATAGGAATAAATTTTTTTATTGATTCATAAGTATATATAACTCACTTGTCTTACTATAAACTATAGGAATAAATTTTTTTATCGATTCATAAATATATGTAACTCACTTGTCTTACTAGAAACTATAGGAATAAATTTTTTTTAAGGTTTATATTGATTCATAAGTATATGTAACTCACTTATCTTACTAGAAACTATAGGAATAAATTTTTTTATTGATTCATAAGTATATGTTAATCACTTGTCTTACTAGAAACTATAGGAATAAATTTTTTTTAAGGTTTATATTGATTCATAAGTATATGTAACTCAATTGTCTTACTAGAAACTATAGGAATAAATTTTTTAATCGATTCATAAGTATATGTAACTCACTTGTCTTACTATAAACTATAGGAATAAATTTTTTTTAAGGTTTATATTGATTCATAAGTATATGTAACTCACTTGTCTTACTAGAAACTATAGGAATAAATTTTTTTTAAGGTTTATATTGATTCATAAGTATATGTAACTCACTTGTCTTACTAGAAACTATAGGAATAAATTTTTTTTAAGGTTTATATTGATTCATAAGTATATGTAACTCACTTGTCTTACTAGAAACTATAGGAATAAATTTTTTTTAAGGTTTATATTGATTCATAAGTATATGTAACTCACTTATCTTACTAGAAACTATAGGAATAAATTTTTTTATTGATTCATAAGTATATGTTAATCACTTGTCTTACTAGAAACTATAGGAATAAATTTTTTTTAAGGTTTATATTGATTCATAAGTATATGTAACTCAATTGTCTTACTAGAAACTATAGGAATAAATTTTTTAATCGATTCATAAGTATATGTAACTCACTTGTCTTACTATAAACTATAGGAATAAATTTTTTTTAAGGTTTATATTGATTCATAAGTATATGTAACTCACTTGTCTTACTAGAAACTATAGGAATAAATTTTTTTTAAGGTTTATATTGATTCATAAGTATATGTAACTCACTTATCTTACTAGAAACTATAGGAATAAATTTTTTTATTGATTCATAAGTATATGTTAATCACTTGTCTTACTAGAAACTATAGGAATAAATTTTTTTTAAGGTTTATATTGATTCATAAGTATATGTAACTCAATTGTCTTACTAGAAACTATAGGAATAAATTTTTTAATCGATTCATAAGTATATGTAACTCACTTGTCTTACTAGAAACTATAGGAATAAATTTTTTTAAGGTTTATATTGATTCATAAGTATATGTAACTCACTTGTCTTACTAGAAACTATAGGAATAAATTTTTTTATTGATTCATAAGTATATATAACTCACTTGTCATACTATAAACTATAGGAATAAATTTTTTTATCGATTCATAAATATATGTAACTCACTTGTCTTACTAGAAACTATAGGAATAAATTTTTTTTAAGGTTTATATTGATTCATAAGTATATGTAACTCACTTATCTTACTAGAAACTATAGGAATAAATTTTTTTATTGATTCATAAGTATATGTTAATCACTTGTCTTACTAGAAACTATAGGAATAAATTTTTTTTAAGGTTTATATTGATTCATAAGTATATGTAACTCAATTGTCTTACTAGAAACTATAGGAATAAATTTTTTAATCGATTCATAAGTATATGTAACTCACTTGTCTTACTAGAAACTATAGGAATAAATTTTTTTAAGGTTTATATTGATTCATAAGTATATGTAACTCACTTGTCTTACTAGAAACTATAGGAATAAATTTTTTTATTGATTCATAAGTATATATAACTCACTTGTCTTACTATAAACTATAGGAATAAATTTTTTTATCGATTCATAAATATATGTAACTCACTTGTCTTACTATAAACTATAGGAATAAATTTTTTTTAAGGTTTATATTGATTCATAAGTATATGTAACTCACTTGTCTTACTAGAAACTATAGGAATAAATTTTTTTAAGGTTTATATTGATTCATAAGTATATGTAACTCACTTGTCTTACTAGAAACTATAGGAATAAATTTTTTTATTGATTCATAAGTATATATAACTCACTTGTCTTACTATAAACTATAGGAATAAATTTTTTTATCGATTCATAAATATATGTAACTCACTTGTCTTACTATAAACTATAGGAATAAATTTTTTTTAAGGTTTATATTGATTCATAAGTATATGTAACTCACTTGTCTTACTAGAAACTATAGGAATAAATTTTTTTAAGGTTTATATTGATTCATAAGTATATGTAACTCACTTGTCTTACTAGAAACTATAGGAATAAATTTTTTTATTGATTCATAAGTATATATAACTCACTTGTCTTACTATAAACTATAGGAATAAATTTTTTTATTGATTATATTTTCGGATTATAAATTTATTAAAAAAACAAAAGTACAATTGCATATATACGTATATCTTTTGTAAAAATAAAAAGTATAATAAAGTACAATTTCATATATACGTATATCTTTGTAAAAATAAAAAGTATAATAAAGTACAATTTCATATATACGTATATCTTTGTAAAAATATAAAAAAGTATTAATATTTATTATATTTTTGGATTATAAATATATTAAAAAACAAAAGTACAATTGCATATATACGTATATCTTTTGTAAAAATAAAATGTATAATAAAGTACAATTTCATATATACGTATATCTTTGTAAAAATATAAAAAAGTATTAATATTTATTATATTTTTGGATTATAAATATATTAAAAAACAAAAGTACAATTGCATATATACGTATATCTTTTGTAAAAATAAAAAGTATAATAAAGTACAATTTCATATATACGTATATCTTTGTAAAAATATAAAAAAGTATTAATATTTATTATATTTTTGGATTATAAATATATTAAAAAACAAAAGTACAATTGCATATATACGTATATCTTTTGTAAAAATAAAAAGTATAATAAAGTACAATTTCATATATACGTATATCTTTGTAAAAATATAAAAAAGTATTAATATTTATTATATTTTCGGATTATAAATATAATAAAAAACAAAAGTAATAATGCACAATTTAATATATATATATAATTTAATCAGAATAACTTGAATATATATTAGATGATTGAAAATTAACTAAAAATGATATTTTATCTAAAAAAGAAAATAAATTTAAAATTTCTCTATCATACATAGACGTTAAATTGTCTATTTTATGATTCAATCTTTCATAAGTGCGATTTGCCCGCCGAACAATCGATCCATTATGAATTTGTATCAATTTAATATCGTTCGAATTCTGATTTTCGATCAATATTTTTATTAGGACGTACACATTCGGATGTGCACTGCTTGTTTTTCTTTTTAGGGCATGATGGAACCCCTCGAGATGGTTATTTGTGCGGGGCCCATCTACATGATACCTAATAAATATTAGAATGATTGATTACAATTATTTTAAGTTTTTATACCTTGTCCATATAGTTTGGGGAAATAAGGCAGTTTCACCAAGCCACGTATGATCCATATACTCCATAAAACGAAGTAGGGATGGATTGTTAGTTGCCATTGAGTAGCAAGATAAAAGTACCTCGGCCAAATGCTCCTCCTTAAAAATGGTAAAGTTGTCATCCGCCTAACAACTATATGGACATGGGAGTCGTTCAGGTAGTCCCTAACTAAACCCAAAGCTTGACATTTCCGCCATAAAGCTTGAGAATAATGGAAGAAACATCCTAAATATTTTAAATTATAATTTTCATATATTATAATTTAACCTTTGATCACTATATTTGGGAATACAAATCGAAGAGCAGATATAGCTGCCGCCTCAAAATCTGTTTGGCCAATTGGAGGATTGAAATTAATACCTTCACGGGTACAAAAATTTTTGACTATATGAAAAAGTTGAATATATGTCTCCCTTGATTTATCTGGAAGGAGAGCATATACAACTGGTATCATGATGTTTTCATACATCACGTGTATGGTATAGAGCTGACAATATAATCTCGGAACTATGTAGAAAGTTCCGTCCATATATATTGTCGTAGCAGCTCCCAACAATTTTAACATATCCGTAGTCCCAAAGACCAATATCCTATTAGATTCAGTAGGGATGTGAAATCTTTGAGATCTGGTAGAGGTTGCATATACAGGCGTTAATATTATATCCTCAATTGAATGAGGCATGGAAGGCCTATATTTCTTTAGAAGTCTGTCAATATGACCCCTAATTGATATAAAAGGAGGGATTGCCTCTGGATAATTTTCGATGTGAGTAGTCTCTAAACATCTAATATCGATAGTTTTTTGATAAATATTCATCCTTGTTTCGGTAGGATTTTGGGCAATAGTTCTTTCAAGAACTTCTCTTGTTTTGAGGACCTCAAAATACCCGACATCAGGTTGGTGTTCATGTACACCTGATGAAATGTAAATATGGTCATATTTACATTTTGCAGGACAGCCTTGTTTTCTGCAACGGTACTGAACTACATCCCCCCTTTCATAGTGAAAACGATAGAGATATTCTCGATAAAAGAGGAATGGTTTTCCCTTTTGACCATTAACAAATTGACCTTTAATAACATATATATATTATATCATTATATTATATTTTTACCATAAATGTTTTGATTTATGTCAAGCATAGCATATGCCGCATCTATTATTTCAAAATCAGCTATAGTTTATTTAATTTTATTCAATAAAAATATTTAATTACCATCTACATTAGGCAATAAATTTAATGGTGGGCTTGAAGAAGAATGCAATTGTAAATGTGTTACTGTAGCATCTTTAAAAATAAATGATATAAAATAAAATATTGTATTATTATACCTCCTGTTGTCCTAATTTGAGGTATTTGGGGGATAAGATTATTATTTGCTAAAAAAATATTAAGTTTAATGAAAATTTTAAAATACATTGTAAAGGAACAGGGAGCCTTGATACTGTTGCATCTTTAAAAATAAATTATATAAAATAAAATATTGTAATAATATACCTCCTGTTGCCCTAATTTGAGGTATTTGGGGGATAAGATTATCATTTGCTAAAAAAATATATTAAGTTTAATAAAAATTTTAAAATACATTGTAAAGGAACAGGGAGCCTTGATACTGTTGCATCTTTAAAAATAAATTATATAAAATAAAATATTGTAATAATATACCTCCTGTAGCCCTAATTTGAGGAAATTGGAGGACTCTAATTTGAGGTATTTGGGGGATAAGATTATCATTTGCTAAAGAAAATATATTAAGTTTAATAAAAATTTTAAAATACATTGTAAAGGAACAGGGAGCCTTGATACTGTTGCATCTTTAAAAATAAATTATATAAAATAAAATATTATAATAATATACCTCCTGTTGCCCTAATTTGAGGAAATTGGAGGACTCTAATTTGAGGTATTTGGGGGATAAGATTATCATTTGCTAAAAAAAATATATTAAGTTTAATAAAAATTTTAAAATACATTGTAAAGGAACAGGAAGCCTTGGTACTGTTGCATCTTTAAAAATAAATTATATAAAATAAAATATTGTAATAATATACCTCTTGTTGCCCTTATTTGAGGAAATTGGATGACTCTAATTTGAGGTATTTGGGGGATAAGATTATCATTTGCTAAAAAAAATATATTAAGTTTAATAAAAATTTTAAAATACATTGTAAAGGAACAGGAAGCCTTGGTACTGTTGCATCTTTAAAAATAAATTATATAAAATAAAATATTGTAATAATATACCTCTTGTTGCCCTTATTTGAGGAAATTGGATGACTCTAATTTGAGGTATTTGGGGGATAAGATTATCATTTGCTAAAAAAATATATTAAGTTTAATAAAAATTTTAAAATACATTGTAAAGGAACAGGGAGCCTTGATACTGTTGCATCTTTAAAAATAAATTATATAAAATATTGTAATAATATACCTCTTGTTGCCCTTATTTGAGGAAATTGGATGACTCTAATTTGAGGTATTTGGGGGATAAGATTATCATTTGCTAAAAAAATAAAGTTTAATGAAAATTTTAAAATACATTGTAAAGGAACAGGGAGCCTTGATACTGTTGCATCTTTAAAAATAAATTATATAAAATAAAATATTGTAATAATATACCTCCTGTTGCCCTAATTTGAGGTATTTGGGGGATAAGATTATCATTTGCTAAAAAAAATTATTAAGTTTAATAAAAAAATTTAAAATACATTGTAAAGGAATACGGAGCCTTGATATTGTTGCATCTTTAAAAATAAATGATATAAAATAAAATATTGTAATAATATACCTCCTGTTGCCCTAATTTGAGGAAATTCGAGGACTCTAATTTGAGGTATTTGGGGGATAAGATTATCATTTGCTAAAAAAATATATTAAGTTTAAAAAATTTTAAAATACATTGTAAAGGAACAGGGAGCCTTGATACTGTTGCATCTTTAAAAATAAATTATATAAAATAAAATATTGTAATAATATACCACCTGTTGTCCTAATTTGAGGTATTTGGGGGGATAGGATTATTATTTGCTAAAAAAAATATTAAGTTTAATAAAAATTTTAAAATACATTGCAAAGAATTAGGAAGCCTTGATACTGTTGCATCTTTAAAAATAAATAATTTGTTACAATATATGAAGAAGATATATTCTTACATTTACAAGTGTCAATATGTTGTTTTGTAACAACAATATCTACTAGTGAAAGCTTGGCTCGACCCCCACATTTACATCTACATATTAGGTAAATGTAATTTTGACCATTGCCCTTGATTAAATATTCATAGCCCAAATAGACAATTACATCATTGTTTTTTTGGGTTTTCTAATAAAAATATATAATGTAATAATAATGGTAATTTACTTTAAATTGAATATTTGGTATCCTGGAATAATCTTGTAAATTCATATTGATGCAAAAAGGTTTCTGTTAAATATTATAAATAAAATAATCCTTTCTAAACAACTTTGGCTTATTTTTTAAATTTTAGCGGCCATTTTTTTGAAGCTCTTTTTGGGGATGTTTTGAGGGTGTTATTGGACGTTTTGGCGATTTTGAACATGGCGATTTAGTGGTTATACGACGTGCTAGATAAGATAAGAATTGATTATCTATCCCAACATATGGAGTGGAATAAGCTTTGCGGAGATGAGCTAAATATTGAAATAGATGATTTTAAATGGCAACCACACAACAAAAAAATAAAGTCGAGTATTATAGCTGATAAAAATAATAAGCAATGACAAAATAAATTCGTATTGGGGCAATGATCAGTAGATCATGAAATCTTATCATAGAATTCTAAAAACTTTGTCATATTATTGAAATAACTCAATTCGTGCGCTTTCAACCACAATTTTTAAAAATGTATGGTATCAAACGGTGACATGCTTAGCCCATTTCCGTTGATGTATCCATAAAAGGAAGAACAAAATAACTTAAAGGAAACTATTTATTCAAAACCCGCCTGAAGGAAAAAGATGCATGCTTTTCAAAATCCTTGGTTTGTTTGGTATAGGTCAGATTTTCTTTTTTTCCCCCCTTTGGTTTTAGGTAAAATTTTAAATTTATATCCCATTTTAATCAAAGATACTCACAGTTATAAATATTATACCATTATTTCTTGATTTTTTGGTCTAATATTAGCTTAACTAGAATATTTTAACTATAATGTTAGTTAATATGAACATATTTTAACATATAATATTCTCTACTTTTTATTGATTTAATCCTTTATAGGATTAATGTTTTAACGTATAATTTTCTCTTACTTTTATTTATTTAATCTTTTATAGGATTAATGTTTTTACTTTTATTTATATGATATATCAGATTTTAGTCTGGTTATATTAAATAAGGTAGGAGTTTAAATATAGTATGTCTCTCTTATTTTGAATTTTTCTGTTTAAACATATTTTTGAATTTATTTAATAATTTAATAAACTAGGTCTCTTCGAAATTGATGGTACTCTTTTTCCCTGACATTATATATGACTCTTATTTTGAATTTTTCTGTTTAAACATATTTTGAATTTATTTAATAATTTAATAAACTAGGTCTCTTCTAAATTGATGGTACTCTTTTTCCCTGACATTATATATGACTATATTTTCCCTGACATTATATATGACTGTATACTTTTTAACTTTAATACTAGTTAAATTTAAGTATTTTTTAACTTATTTTATTCGACAAATCTTTTATAGGATTAATATTTTTACAGTAATTTACATGATATATCAGATTTTTAGTCTGGTAATTTAAATTAAGTAATAGTTCAATATTATAGTATGTCTCTCTATATCAGATTTTTTAGTTTGGTAATTTTAATTAAGTAATAGTTCAATATTATAGTATGTCTCTCTTAATTTGGAATTTTCTGTTTTAAATAGTAGTACTTAAATATATAGTATGTCTCTCTTAATTTGAAATTTGCTGTTTAAATATATTAGTTTCTACATAGAATCTAAATTAATTTAGGTCCCTTCCTAATTAATAACATTATTTTTAATAAATTTTCAATATTATACATTAGTTGTTATACATTAGCTGACCTGAGGCATTTTGCTCTTAATGTTTGTATACCTTAACATAACTGTTAAATCATATTTAATTTTTTAATTTTATTAAATTTAAAATTATTATATTTACCTTAAGTAGATGTTTAAAATGGTATGTATATAGTTATTTTTATCATTTGTTTAAAAATTAGTATTTTAGTTAGCTGTGATGATTAGGAATTTTTTGTTTTAACATATTCATATTTTTCTGTTTACATATTTCAATTTAAATATTAATTTAGGTCACTTCTTAATTATAGATACTCATTGAATTTTCCTGTTTAAACATATTTCACTTTAAATAGTAATTGGTCACTTCTTAATTATAGATACTCTTTGAACTTTTCTGTTTAAACATATTTCATCAAACATATTTCAATTTAAATAGTATTTTAAATTAGTCTAGGTCACTTCTAAATTAATGATATTCTTATCCCCAAAACAATTTTATATATGGCTTTTAAATTTTATAGTTGAAATTAAATATGGATATAATGCTTAGATGAGATTTTAAGGGCTTTTTTTAATTATACAAAAGCTGAAATCAGTTATGCTTCTTAATGTTTGTATACCTTAACATAACTATTGAATTGATTTGTTGTTATTAAATTTAGGATTGTTCTATTTAATTTAAAATTATTTTTGTATAGTATTTTTTGTTATCAAATTTAAAATTATTCCATTAAAATTCTGTATATAGTTATCTTTGTTATATTTAGCATTTTAGCTAGTTATGAGGTTTTAATTTAAGCTAACTTAAAACACAAGCATTGTTGATTATAGTATGGGTTTTACATTATCATGTATATATTAGTATAATTAATATTCATATTTTATATATTTATCTATTTATAATTATTTCTTTAATTTTCCGGCGCATGTGTTATTGAAATTATTTTTCTTCTCTTTCAAGCGCCGTTTTTGATTTTGTTTTCGTTTCGATTTTTATCTTTTCTTTTCATGTACCGTTTTTGTTTTTGTTTTTGATTTGATTTATTAATCTCTCTTTTTCAAAAGCTTTGTTTCTCTCTGTTTATGTAAAATTGTCTTAGTTTCGTTTTGTTTTTGATTTGATTTATTAATTTCTCCTTTTTCAAGAGCTTATGTAAAATATTTTATGCACTGCACATGTAATATTTTTTTTATTCATTTTTCTATTTAGGATCATTTGTCTCGTTTTTTCGAAGAAAATTTTTAAATGTTAGTTTTTAAATGTATTATAAATTGACAGTTTTATATTATCTTTTAGAATTTTTTTTACGTTCCAGGAATCCCACCTAGGGTCTTCCCCCTTGCTATTATGTTTGTTCATGTATTGTATAGTTTTGTATTTAAAAAATATAATAAATTGCTGTCTATCTAATTGTAAATTTTAAAAACTAATTTTTTCCTGTAATTTTAAATTTCAAAAAGTTTCAAATTGCTGTCTATCTAATTGTAAACTTTAAAAACTAATTTTTTCCTGTAATTTTAAATTTCAAAAAAGTTTCATCACCTTCTTTCAGGGTTGCCATGCCTCCCCCCATCAGTGGGAGTCTCCCACAATTTTTTAGTTTACCCACATACATCTCACTCCCACAAAACTCCCACAATTAGAAATCTCCTACAAAAATCTCCCAAAATTTTTTTAATTTCTCCCACAATTTTTTTTTAGCATTTTAATGTTTTTAATATATAAATAATAATTTTGAGAGACAGTATTTGATTATTTTTAAAATAAATTTTAAATATTTATTCGAAAAATATGTCTAGTTCTTTTATTTTATTTTTCCGCTAATCTCCATCCAACCAATCCAATCCATTCGACATTTTCAAAATTTGAAGTTAGAAAAGTATGTATAATTATTATAAATATATTTTAAATTACTTAATATATTTTATATCGTTATCTAGATTCTATAATTGCAGTGCTCCACTCGACATTTTCATAGAAGAATAGAACTTTTAGAAGTGAACAATAATACCAAACAGATTTAAGTAATAAAATGTTCTATTTTGCTAATAATTTTATCTTACTGTAAAATTAAAATATTATATTAAGCACTAAACATTCATAAAATTTTCATAATAAATGATTTTAAATGGCTGTTAACAACACATATGGTTTTTATGATTATCATGTCATCTTTTATACAAACATCCTTTTTTTATCACACATTTCTCATCATTTTATAATAAAACCAAATAAAATCTTACTTTTTATAACATGCTACAATTTGAATTATTCTCTTACAAATAAAAATGTACATTGATATTTTTTAGCTTCATTAGTTTATAAAATCTATTTCAAATTAGATTGAATCTTTTTGTAAATAATAATTAACATACTTTTTCTTATAACTATAATATTCATTGTTTAAATTTATTAAAATCAATAATATTTTTATATATAAATAATTAATATTTATTATAAATAGGCAAATATATATAATATTGAAAATATAACAAGTATAAGCTTAGAAAGTACTTGTTTTGTTAATCAATAAACTGGATATTAATGTATAGTAATATAATTAAATGAATGTATGTTAAAAAATTACTTTTACTCTATAATATGCCCCAGTCCTAGGCAAATTTTTTAATATGATTTTTACATTTATTTAAATAATTATTATCATTTTGATATAAATCAAAAAAATCATTTTTTTAAATCAAGATTTATGCTAAACCTATATTTCTCACTTTTAATTTTTCTCTCAATTAATAAACATAGCATATTAACCTCAATCAGTTTAATTTATAATCTTTAAGTTTAATAAGGAGAGGAGACCAAAATAGTTATGTAAAATTTGTGTTTTTAAATATTATATACCTGATTCAGTTAAATTTATAATCTTGAGGTTTAATAAGGAGACCAAAATAGTTATGCTTATGGAATGGACAACAAAAATAGGACATTTTTTTGGCAAGAAAAAAAAGAAGGTTGCACCATCCTTTGCGTATTTGATTTTAAACTTTAATGTTGATTTTCTCATTTTAAACATTGGCAGTTGGCACAAGTGGATCACTCCAATTCTAGATCGACGATAAGCTGTGTATAAATAATAGTACAAAAGCAGTTTTTTTTGAAAATAATTTTTATTTTTATATATTTAATTAAAATATATATGTTTTATTGTCCAAAAAGCAACATCATATTTGGTATTGGCACCTCAACAACCTCAACTGGTATGAAACAAAAATCAATTAAGAATTTCTTCAAGAAATCAGTGCCAGTGATTCCTGAGGTGGTGGAACTTAAGCATCTTTGTGATCGTGTTCGTGGTATGTATAATTAATGTATATAGTATGTATAATTATAAATATATAATAGTACATAAACAGTTTATATTGAAAATAATTTTTCTTTTTATATATTTAATTATAACATTTTATTGTCCAAAAAACAACATCAGTATTGGAAACTAGTGCTTTAACCTCAAAGCAATCTAAATCTCAAGAAGATGACTATCATGGTATATATAAATAAAAATATAAAATATGTATAATATTTAGGATTTCTTAAGCTTAGATTAAAGATGATTAGGATAATAATATTTTCTAAGTTCCACTTTCATTGCTAATTTTTAAAAATATTACTTCTAATATTAATAATATATTTTTTAAAATATAATAGTATATAAGTAATTTATATTGAAAATAATTTTTCTTTTTATATATTTAATTATAACATTTTATTGTCCAAAAAACAACATAGTATTGGAAACTGCTTTAACCTCTAAACAATCTAAATCTCAAGAAGATGACTATCATGGTATATATAAATAAAAATATAAAATATGTATAATATTTAGGATTTCTTAAGCTTAGATTAAAGATGATTAGGATAATAATATTTTCTAAGTTCCACTTTCATTGCTAATTTTTAAAAATATTACTTCTAATTTAATAATATCTTTTTTAAAATATAATAGTATATAAGTAATTTATATTGAAAATAATTTTTCTTTTTATATATTTAATTATAACATTTTATTGTCCAAAAAACAACATCAGTATTGGAAACTGCTTTAACCTCTAAACAATCTAAATCTCAAGAAGATGACTATCATGGTATATATAAATAAAAATATAAAATATGTATAATATTTAGGATTTCTTAAGCTTAGATTAAAGATGATTAGGATAATAATATTTTCTAAGTTCCACTTTCATTGCTAATTTTTAAAAATATTATTTCTAATATTAATAATATATTTTTTAAAATATAATAGTATATAAGTAATTTATATTGAAAATAATTTTTCTTTTTATATATTTAATTATAACATTTTATTGTCCAAAAAACAACATCAGTATTGGAAACTGCTTTAACCTCTAAACAATCTAAATCTCAAGAAGATGACTATCATGGTATATATAAATAAAAATATAAAATATGTATAATATTTAGGATTTCTTAAGCTTAGATTAAAGATGATTAGGATAATAATATTTTCTAAGTTCCACTTTCATTGCTAATTTTTAAAAATATTATTTCTAATATTAATAATATATTTTTAAAAATATAATAGTATATAAGTAATTTATATTGAAAATAATTTTTCTTTTTATATATTTAATTATAACATTTTATTGTCCAAAAAACAACATCAGTATTGGAAACTGATTTAACCTCTAAACAATCTAAATCTCAAGAAGATGACTATCATGGTATATATAAATAAAAATATAAAATATGTATAATATTTAGGAAATTTATTTTTATTTTCTTAGATAAGTTCCACTTGCATTCAAATATTAATAATTTATTTAGTAAGGAAATAATTTTTATAATTATGCGCATTCTATATTTTTAACTATCGTATTAAAATTAATGACAAATATTCTTAATTTACATTTGAAAATAATTATATAGGAATAAAAGCTTTAAAACGTATGTCTCCAAAATATTCGCCGTCTATATCCGATTCGGATGAAACTGGAGATCTTTCTGAAAATAGTATTTATTTCTTATAATTTTTGAAAATAAGCATATAAAATTAGGATATGTTTTTAGTTCATATAAATCATTTTTTTAATAAAATAGCACTTTGATAATTAATTTTGCTTTAAATATCCTAACAAAATTGATTATCTTTTTATATTTTATATACTATAGAATCCGAGAAAGTCAATAAAAGAAGAAAATATATATGTAAATATAACAAGATATGGGAGAAAAAATATGTTTAGTTGATGAGGCTTACAGGTAGCCATGCTAAATGTATAATATGTCTTACAGTATTTAGTTACTACAATGGGGGGGGGGAATATGATATTTTGCGACACCAAAAATCGTCAAAGCATAAGTCAGTACAGGGGAGTCTATCAACGTCTATTGCAATACAAAAATATTCTCCAAAAATAATAAATAATACAGATGCAACTACAATTGCGGAAACTGTATATTCATATCATAACATTCACAGAGCTATCTGTCATCACAATGTGGGTCGAATCTCTTCCCCATAATATTTAACGACTCCAAAATAAGTGCCAACTTTACTTGTGGTAGGACAAAAATGAGCAAGGCTATCACAAATGTGTTAGGACCTGAATCCAAGAGGTCAATTCTAGACGATTTGAAAGAAGGGCATCCATATGCTATTTTAACAGATGCATCAAATAAGGGAAATATCGCAAAATATCATATTCCCCCCCATTATAGTAACTAAATACTGTAAGACATATTCTACATTTAGCATGGCTACCTGTAAGCCTCATCAACCAAACATATTTTTGCTCCCATATCTTGTTATATTTACATATATATTTTCTTCTTTTATTGACTTTCTCGGATTCTATAGTATATAAAATATAAAAAGATAATCAATTTTGTTAGGATATTTAAAGCAAAATTAATTATCAAAGTGCTATTTTATTAAAAAAATGATTTATATGAACTAAAAACATATCCTAATTTTATATGCTTATTTTCAAAAATTATAAGAAATAAATACTATTTTCAGAAAGATCTCCAGTTTCATCCGAATCGGATATAGACGGCGAATATTTTAGAGACATACGTTTTAAAGCTTTTATTCCTATATAATTATTTTCAAATGTAAATTAAGAATATTTGTCGTTAATTTTAATACGATAGTTAAAAATATAGAATGCGCATAATTATAAAAATTATTTCCTTACTAAATAAATTATTAATATTTGAATGCAAGTGGAACTTATCTAAGAAAATAAAAATAAATTTCCTAAATATTATACATATTTTATATTTTTATTTATATATACCATGATAGTCATCTTCTTGAGATTTAGATTGTTTAGAGGTTAAATCAGTTTCCAATACTGATGTTGTTTTTTGGACAATAAAATGTTATAATTAAATATATAAAAAGAAAAATTATTTTCAATATAAATTACTTATATACTATTATATTTTTTTAGCAATTTCTCCCACAATTTTTATATTTCTCCCACAAAATACCTAATTTCTCCCACAATTTGAAAATTTTGACCTCTCAACCCTGCCTTCTTTATTACTTATAATTTCCTAATTGCGTTAATACATTATTGGATTCAAACCAGTACACTGTTATGGAAGTAAATCTATCATGTTAAATTTTTCTAACTTTAATTAATTGAACCTATCATATTTTATTTGTTTAACTTTAATTTAAATTTTGTTGGATATTATTTAATATCATCAGATGGTACTAATTAAATTATTTTATTTTTTAACATTAATTTAAATTTTTTGGATATTTTTTAATATTATTTGATGGTACTAAATTTTTTCTTTAAATCCTATCCTTTTGGGGTAGTTTCTCTATTACAAATATTTCAACTATAATGCGTTGTTTTTCACCTTCATGTGTATTTGGAATATGGAAGAAAAATGCCTAACGCTAATATTCTATTTTGTTTTTTTAAATAGTATTCCTTCTTAATTTTATCTTAAAAATGCCTAACGCTAATGTTCTATTTTGTCTTTTTAAATTGTATTCCTTCTTAATTTTATCTTTTTTTGGAAATGCTTTCAGGAAAAACAACTACTGTTTTAGTATTGTTATACAATAATATTTTGTTTTAGGTATTAAAAAGTAACTTTTGGCAGAGAATGCTAAGATTTAAAAAAAAAAGTTTTAGGTATTAAAAAGTAACTTTTGGCAGAGAATGCTAAGATTTAAAAAAAAAAAAAAAGTAGTTTTGTCAGTAGAGGCTAAGATAACGCCTTACTCTTATTCTGCATTCCCTTTTATTTCTGCAGTTTCGGTAGGCTTATTGCCCTATTAAACAGGTTTCTCTGAAATTGTACTCTATGGTTTAATTTTAGTTGTACTAAAACCGTGGTAGTCCTATAAAAATTGAACGAAGTCCTATTGCAAAACCTTCTCTTGATCAACAATGTATTACTATACTTCTTCTTGATTTCTCTTTATGTGAAGTAAATAAGAAGTTTAGATTACCCCTAATGCATAAGTAGTTCGAACACTACCACTAGAATTAAAATGTTAAGAAATAGGAATCTATTTGACTGTTAGTATGGATATGATTTTTTTCTAATTTAAATTTCTATATCTTTTCTGTATCCATATTACTCAAGCATTACTCATGACTAAATTTATTTTAAGGTAGGATTTTCAAATTTAAATTTTTATATATTTCTGTATGTATATTACTCACGGTTTGGTTTCTTTAGGAATTATTCGCAGGAAAGTTGCAAATAGCTTCATTAAATATAAATGGATTAAATAATAAATTGGCGGTTCTATTAAGATTGTTGGAAACGGAAGGAGTAGATTTAATAGGCATTCAGGAAACTCATTGCCCAGGAAACAGTAGGGCAAATTTTAGTGTATATAAGATGTTTTGTTCGGGAACCACTTCAAATAGTTGGGCAGGAATCGCCTTTTTGACTAAGAAACGTTTACATAAACACATTATAAAATTTGTACCTGTGTCGGAGAGATGCGGACTTCTATATCTGAATACTAAGTTTAGACCCACTATTGTTGTGAATTTTTACGCCCCACCTAATAGGAACATGAGGAAAATTTTTTTGGATGAAATGATGAATATATTAAACTCCCTCTCAAATAGATATAATGTAATAATCCTGGGTGATCTCAATATGAAAATAGGAAAAGATAGTGAATATATAAGTAGAGGAGTTATTGGGCAAGCTGCCATTCAACAATCTAATGATGTAGACAGCATAAAATTCCTAGATTACTGCAAACAAAAACTTTAAGGTAGAAAATACTTTTTTCTGCCATCGTGATATCAACAAATATACCTTTGTGAGGGGCAGACAGATATCTCAAATTGACTTCTTTATTTCCAATATTCATAGTTGGTTTGAAGATGTTAAAGCATCTACCAGGGTTAACATATCTGATCATAAGATGGTTATTGCAGTTATAAATATAAAAACCATCTGGGGATATCACAATAATAGCATTCCTAACTTAATGGCCGTCAATGCTACCTCGTCCAATATAATTTTTCCACGTAAAGCAAATAAGTTTCTATTGCAAGGGAACAAAACTCTCTTTGAACAATCCCTTATTTCAAAAAAGGAAACTTTATTAATGCTACCAGAAATGGAAACGTTGAAGTTTGCTGGGAACTTTTTAAGAAAGAACTAGCGGAATCTTATGAGAGACTGCCAAACGTAAATCTTGCAACTAGGAAAGAATGGATGTCCGATGAAACTCTTGAGAAGATATATCAACTCAGAATGACGAACAGCTCTAACATTGATCTATGGAAAGACATTAAAAGATTACTACGGAAAGATAGGAGAATTTTTATTGCTAAAAGGGCGGCTGACATTGACAAAGATATGAAAGAGAACAGGATCTACGATGCATATAGAAAATTAAAGTACTTCTGCAAACCAGTTGCTTTGTGAAACTTCCTATGATTGTCTTAGCAAATGGGAAAACCATAACGGACCAAGATGAGCAAATGGCACTGTGGCTGGATCATTATATGTCGATTTTTGACTCCCGCAAGGCTACTCCTTTAACTACGGTAAATTCTCACACTATTATATCCCCGGCTGGTTTCTCTTCAAATGAAATTTCGAATATCGTAAAGAAACTACGGAACAATAGAGCTCCGGGTTTGGATAACATTACTGCTGAATATTTAAAAATATCCCCGAACCTAATCTCTTCTTTTCTCCTTGCTCTCTTTAACAAAATTTGGGAAAGTGGGAATACTCCGACAGAATGGAATAAATCTCTTCTGTGCAACTTCCCGAAAATTAAGGAACCAAAAAAATTTGCGGACCATCGGGCAGTAGCTCTGACCTCCTGCGTATCGAAAGTCTTTATGACACTAATCAAGAATAGGATCTTAACTTCTACACCCCTTCTTCTTTCTAAATATATCTGTGCATATAGGCCAAATAAAAACATTTTGGAACCTATTTTATCGCTGAAAATAATTATGCAAAAGTGCTGGAAATATAGGATTCCGTCTTATTACACTTTTATTGATTTCAGTAGGGCCTTTGATAATGTAGACCATAACGCCTTATGGGTAGCACTATCAGAGTGTGGTATCGAACAAAATATTATCTCCATCTTAAGGAATCATTATTCCAAATTAACTTCATGTTTTAAAACAAACGATAAAATATCACCCTTCTTCAAGATAAAAAAGGGAGTAAAACAAGGTTGTACTTTATCACCACTTCTCTTTAACATCGTAATAAATAAAGTCATAAAGGAGGTAAATGCTGCTGCAGACTTGGCTGACTTTGGGTCTAATGAAAATTTTCACTTTGCTAATAAGATCGTTTCGTATGCCGACGATATTGTTGTAATATCAAAAAATATTGAAGAGACTGAATGTCTGATATACCTTATCGAAACCATAAGCCTCAGAGTTGGTTTAAAAATTAATTTCAATAAAACGGTTATTCTTTCCTCGCCAAATACACCACCGCTCCAAAATCTTTTGGTAGGCGGGAACGTTATTAAAAAAGTAGATAATATCAAATTGGGTGTGATGCTCAATAATAAAGGGGAATGTAAAGAGGAAATGAAGATTAGAACGCAAAAATCCAAAAGAGCGTTCTATATGTACATGAAAATCTGGACGTCTAAGGAAATATCGGTTTTTACGAGGTTGAGGCTTTTTAACTCTACTATTATCCCCATTTTATTATATGGAAGTGACATATGGGAAGTTAACAAGACGGACTTAAGACGTATCCAATCCTTTATAAATAACTGTCTGAGAACTATAAATGGTATTTTTTATCCCAGAGTCATCTCTAACTCTAACCTCTGGAGGAAATCTAGTCACACTCCGATAAATATTACGTTAAAAAAACGTCGGATACAGTTCCTAGCCCATATAATAAGAAATTCAGATCACAACCTTGTACATGATGCTATCGTTTGGCTATATACACATAAAGGGAAACAGTATACTAAATATAAATCGTTATGGTATTACAAAGCTATAAAAGACGTGATGGAGCTGAATGTAAACATGAAACAATTTATAAAGCTTAATAATTGCAAAAGGTCTATCAGAAAACTCTTTCGCATCAAAGATAGATATTTTAGATGAAAATTAAATCTGTTCCTAGAGATCTCTAGTTCAAATACCTTTTTCTTACTTTTCTTCCTCGATTTCTCTTGTGGATTTATTCCTCTTGAAAGTATATTTCTTTTTTCCTCTAAAATAAATAAACTTACAATAAAGCTTTTTAAGTTAAATTTTCCACCTCCCACCTTTAAAGTAATTAATTAAAAGCAGTTCTTGGGTGTAGGCTATTTTTTGGTCCCTCTCTTTTCCTCTAAGCCTATAGACGTTTTAACAACATTTCTTCGGAATTGTTATGCGTACAAGTACGTGCGGCTTGCCCACAAACGTGTGGAGGGCTCCTCATATTTTTTTCCCCCTTAAATTAATAAATTCCAATTAGATGGAAATGAGGAAAACCTAGCGTTGCTCTGTTGTATATTCAACATTAGAGGACGAATGCGCTATATATCACGTAAGATAAGAATCCTATATTTTTATCGTCAATTCATCAAGTTATTATTTTATAAAAAGTATTCAATTAATTTAGATCAATCAAATAATATTAAAATATCTGAAGCACTTGAAAGTAATGTGATATATTTTGATATATATATTTATATTTTCTCTAGATCTAGACATGATTATAGACAGAAAGGAACAAAGAAAACAAGACTTAATTATAAAAAGATTGTAATTATTTATGTATTAGCATTATAGTTGTTGATAAATTATTTTTTATTGAATAAAATTATAATTAAATTTGTTTACTTGATTTTATCTCATTTTTTATTTAAGATATGTAAGAATTAAAGCAAAAAAAAGCTTTTGTGAAAGATAATAACATTTTTTCCTTTACAATACCCTAATATTTATTTCCATTAATTTTAACTACTTTTGTCATTTTACCTTCATTAAATTTACTGAAATATAATTTTACACAAATATATTATCACTTTTTAAATTCTAATTTATTATTAAAGCCAAATTTTAAAATATTTTGCCTAAAAAACTGGAAACAATAAGATTAATATAAAAGAATTTAAGTTTATTAAGTGTTTTGTTTTCATTCACATGATATTTGATTTAAAATCCTATGACTATTCAAATCTTATAAATTCTAATATTATAAATGTATTAACAGACCATGCTGGAATGAAAGTTTATTAATGCTTTATAACATAAGATTTTATTTGAACTAATTTTATTATACATGTATCACAATTATTATAAAGTAATATAAGATTTAATAAAAATATTTTGTGATAAGAGTTTGGCTAGACTCTGGAGTAAATAATTCTTTTTCCACTATATTATCTAGCTTTCTTAGTGAATCTTGATCCCTTAGATGTTCATGAGCATATTCAAGAAAAGTATAATAACCATTAAGAGCCTGATTTTTTGTAATTAAATGATCAGATATCTCTAGGTTCCCTTCGTCATTCTCGGAGCTTTCATAACCTTCTATAAAAAATAAGATTAATTAAAATTTTAAGTAATTAAACCTTCCAACTCTAATCTTATCTGATTACAAATATCCTGATCATCTAAAATTCCATGGCAGCTAGCATCATTATCGTGTAACGCATATTCTTCAAATACGGGATCAAATTCATCTTCTTCGTTGTCAGTTAATGCTATATCCTCCGATTCCCAATCAAATGCCATAGACTTATCAAAAAATTTAGCTTTAATAAAACACTTTATGATTGTGGTACTTGTCACCTCACCCCATGCAAATTTTATAAGATAGAGGCTATCATAAAGTGTAAATCTTTTATAAAAAGAGGTGGTGTCATTTCCTTCCATCAATGTTATCATTTTTCTCATGATACCCTTTCTATAATGACATTTAAAGGATCTAATTGCACCCATGTCCAAAGGTTGAGTTAATGATGTTGTATTTGCTGGTAAAAAAATTAATTTTATATTGTTAAATGTTAATTTTGTTTTGTGACAAGATGCATTGTCACAAAACCATAAAATTTTCTTCTTTAATGAGGAATCCCATTCTTTAAGAATATCTTCAAAAGTTGAGGTTGTCATCCAGCTGCTTTTATTGGAGTAGTATTTAACTGGTAATTTTTTATTTTTAAAGCACCTAGGGTTTTTAAATTTCCCTACAACATATAACTTTTTATCAGATCCATCCCCATCTATGATAAATAGAACTGTGACTTTTTCCTTGTCTGGTTTGAAGCCCAGTGGTAGAGTTCCACTAAATTCCATTGTGCCCTTTGGTAATGCTCGGTAGTATAGTCCTGTCTCATCACAATTGTAAATATTACTCCTTTGATAATCTTTAATCAGAGATGGGAGTGTATTTCTGCTCCATTCATTTGCATTAATAATATCTGCACTCCCCTTTTCATTGCAAACATTATGAAAATTTATATTCTGTCTTTTCCTAAACCTCTGCAACCAGCTGCTAGTAGGAATGCCTATAATTTATATATATATATTATAAAAACTTATAATTACCTTCATTGAATGTTTGGCTAAAAAACATAGCTTTTTCTAACATCACTGGCCCATTTAGACTGCAATTTTTACTTCGCATTTGGGTAAACCAAACCAATAAAGCTGCTTCTGTCTTTGGGTTACAACTCATTCTAACTCTTTTAGTTGTAGGAGGTTTATTCCTTAGAAATTGTGAGCATAGATTTTCTTTATTCGCTATTAAATGGTAGATTGTCGAGACGTGGCAATTGTAATTTGATGCTAATTTTGTTTTTGATGTAGTGTTTAATTTATCAATTATTTCTTTTTAATGTTTCAGGTTTAATGTTTGGAATGATTTTTTTTACCATTTTTATATTAATTTCTGGCGTGGTAATGAATGAATGAATGGAAAAAGGTTAAATAAAAAAAATGATGAATAATTTTTTTCGATAAATTTTTTTTATTTTTTCACTTATCCGATTAAATTAACGTTATTGTTATATAAATGGGACCTGAAAAATTTTGCAATTATCCGATATTTCGCAATTAACCGATTCGCAATTATAAATGTAATTTAACATTATACCATAGTAATTATTATCAAAATCGCGGGGTTTTTTCTCATTTAAAAGTTTTTGCAGTTAAGCGATATGCAATTAAACGGTTTTGACTGTATATGTTATAAAATTTCTAACAATTTTGCTATTTATCAATATTAGTTTTCTCATAAAAACTTTCATTAAAGGATCTGTTTCTATTATTAATATCTTTGGTAAATAATGTTTAGGTTGGAGAGCTCCTAATTCTAGATATTTATCATATCTTATATTAGCGATGTGCAATTTTTTTTGGTTAATATTTTTGCGTATTTTGAAATTGGAAAAATAATTTTATGACAAGAAATCTCGGATAACAACCTAATTTATA